GAATCAGGGTAGAAGTGTGCACCATTGGGATTTCAATGGCTGATGTTTCTGGAGATGCCCAGTACTTTCCCTGTGGTGTTTCTGGGTGAACTGGACCTCCCATCCTTCAGTTACCACCTGGGGCCGTTAATCATTGTATCACCCATGGATAACCTGACCATGGAATTCAGTTCTCGCTGTGTGCCAGCCCACTGACCACAATGCACAGCCCAGCCCAGTTCAGCTCAACACACAGAAGTTGACTATGCATTGTTCAGAGAGGCTGGTGCAAGGACAGTTCAGGTAACCTGATTCCAGTGTTGAAATGCCCTTCCATGACTTTGTGTCCATTGAGGTGAATCGAGAGGGCTTGACAAATCACATGTCTTCTGCAAAGATGTCAATGTCCAGAAAACCTGCGTACACCCTCAATGGACCCACGCTTCCTGTAAATGTAGGAGCTCAGACAGATGCTGCCCTTCTGGTTGTTAGCAACATCCAGTTCCTTGCAGTTATAGGACTGAGGGCTCTGAGTCCTTGCTCCCAGAGGCTGTCTGCTTTCTTCCTCCTGCTCTCTATGTGGCCCCTTCAGTGATGCCCCATCTAGTCTTCTCACATTTGAGTCTCTCTTCCTGTGCTTTTGGCTACATCTCTCTGACTCTACCTGGGAAAGTGCTTACTTTTAAGGGTTCATGTGCTTAGATTGAGTGCAAGTAGATAATCCCACATAATCTACATGTAATAAGCCTATTAATATATGGACTATAATTATAAGGGATAATTATTGACAATCGTTATTGTAAACAATTAGTTTCTGTCTGATTTTGTTATCTATACTAAGTTCTACAAACGTAAGTATAGGTGCAAAGTCCTATGTGTCATATACGGCACCATATCCCAGCATTCCAGGGAGTGAGGTGTGCACATCTGTGGGCCCACTTTATGTAGCACAGGGCTGAGAGTCACCTGGGCCCTGTACTTCATTTTCTCCACATTGGGGCTCAGACGTTAGGATTTCCACTGTAATGATGCAGAGCAGGAAAGGGACGGTTGGGAATAACTCACTCATCCCGTTTTATACAGTTTGACAGCTGGGTGGTTGTAAGCCATTGTTAAGTGGTCAGCTTTGAATTCCCTCCATCTTCTTCCAGCTGTAAGCGATATGAATCTATGGATACACAAAGCAGTGATATTTCGTGAGTCTTCATGACAACTTAATACATGTGTGTATGTTGTTTCCTATCGTGTTTTACTAATAATTGTTGTTATTGTTGTTATGTGCCGTCAAGTCGGACCTGACTCATAGCGACCCTTCCTTGGGTTTCTGAGGCAGTATCACTACGGAAGTAGATTGCCCCATCTTCCTTCTGAGAAGTGGCTGGTG